CATAGACTTTGGAAAAACCCCCAGCCTCTGGGGACCACCCTCTCCCACCAGCCTACCCCATCCTTCTAGGACAGGGGCCAGGAGAAGGTACCCTAAGGATGGCCCCAGCCAGCAGGGCAGGTGGCTGTGTCAGCCTGGCTGAAGGGTACGAGGGAGGGGAAGATGAGGGTCCCTACCCATCCCCAGAATGTCAGGCCTGGAGCTGAGACCAGCTGGGTGCTGACCCCCTCCCTGCTTCTGGTTCTCAACCCCCCAGCCCTGCAGCTCCCGCTGGCCAACGATGGGGGCAGCCGCTCACCGTCCTCAGAGAGCTCCCCGCAGCACCCCACGCCCCCTGCCCGACCCCGCCACATGCTGGGGCTCCCGTCAACCTTGTTCACACCACGCAGCATGGAGAGGTGAGCTGTCAGAGCAGGCTGGCAGGGGGTCAGGGCCCATTCAGCAGGGCAGCATGGGAAGTGTTGCTGTGCCAGCCCCGGTGAGAGGGTGGTGAAGTCTGGGGAACACTGGTGTGTGGGCTTGGGTTGCTTCAGGTTGGTTAGGAACCCCTTCACCAACTCCTGCTCCCTGTCCCCAGCATCGAGATTGACCAGAAGCTGCAGGAGATCATGAAGCAGACGGGCTACCTGACCATTGGGGGCCAGGTACCTCCCTTGCTCAGCATCTGGGTGGAGGAGGGCAGGGGGTGGAGGAGGGAGGACAAGCCCTGGGGACCCTCCAGCCTTGTTCCCTCTCCCACCTGCCAGCGCTATCAGGCAGAGATCAACGACCTAGAGAACCTGGGCGAGATGGGCAGTGGCACCTGCGGCCAGGTGTGGAAGATGCGTTTCCGGAAGACAGGCCACATTATTGCAGTCAAGGTGAGTGCAGTCCTTGCCTTTTGGACCTCTGTCTCATTCTCTGTGTCCCTGGTGCTAAGGTTCCCTCCTGGCCATCCCTTCTTGCAGCAAATGCGACGATCGGGAAACAAGGAAGAGAACAAGCGCATCCTTATGGACCTGGACGTGGTGCTCAAGAGCCACGACTGCCCCTACATTGTGCAGTGCTTCGGCACCTTCATCACCAATGTGAGCAGGTTCTTGACTGGCCCGGCCCATGGGGAAGCCTCAGGGTGCCCTTTGCCCCCACAGGGTCCTCTTCCCTGGGGATCAGAGCATGACTGGGGTGGACAGGAAGGCACAGTCACCCCAAGCCACATGTGCCACCCCTCCCTCTGCAGACAGATGTCTTCATCGCCATGGAGCTTATGGGCACATGTGCCGAGAAGCTTAAGAAGCGGATGCAGGGCCCCATCCCTGAGCGGATCCTGGGCAAGATGACAGTGGCGGTGAGCTGCAGGCCAGGGCTCATGTGACTGGGTTGACGGCCCCAGGCCATGTCCCCCCTTCACAGRAGTCTTCTGCTGTCCATGCTGCAGATCGTAAAGGCACTGTTCTACCTGAAGGAGAAGCATGGTGTGATCCACCGCGATGTCAAGCCTTCAAACATCCTGCTGGATGAGCGGGGCCAGATTAAGCTCTGTGACTTCGGCATCAGCGGCCGCCTGGTGGATTCCAAGGCCAAAACACGGAGTGCCGGCTGTGCTGCCTACATGGCGGTGAGTTGGGAGCCTGTGGAGCTGGGAAGGTGGAATGGGGTCTGAGACACTGGCCCCTATCCTGAAGGTGCATCCTTTTCTCCCTCCTGGTAGCCTGAGCGCATTGACCCCCCGGACCCCACCAAGCCTGACTATGACATCCGAGCAGATGTGTGGAGCCTGGGCATCTCATTGGTGAGCTGGGACCCTGCCTCCACCCTCAGGCTGGGAGTAAGGAAGCAAAGGAGGGCAGGATCTCCTTCCCCACCAGTCCAGCCCTGCCTGTCTCCCTGTCAGGTGGAGCTGGCAACCGGACAGTTCCCCTACAAGAATTGCAAGACGGACTTTGAGGTCCTCACCAAAGTCCTACAGGAAGAGCCCCCACTCCTGCCGGGTCACATGGGCTTCTCGGGGGACTTTCAGTCCTTCGTCAAAGACTGGTGAGCATCCCTACTTACCCTGCCCTTCTGCTCTGGGAGGCCTCAGGAAGCCAGGTGTGGCCCATTGCTCAGGGCTGCTAGAGAAGGCTGGCGTAGGAAGAGGAGGGAGAGGCCACCCAGGGATGGTACTTTGGCAGCTTCAGGCCGGCTACAACCAGGGGCTGTGCCAGGAGTTGAAGCTGGTACAGAACCATGAGCTGGGTTTGGACCTGTTGATACCTGGCCCAGTGGGTAATTGGTGGTCAGTGGGCTTTGCCACAGGATATTGTGAATGAATGGTGCTGCTTCGGGGCCAGCAGCCTAAACACTCTACCTTAGCAAGGAGAGTAAAGTCTTCAGGAAATCATGCACCAGTCTCCTGGGAGCCCACCCAACTCTCTAGTAGGACCTCCCATTCTAATTCTAGGTCCCAGGCCAGGCCTTACAATATGCCCTGGCTGGGAGACTTCAGGGATACACAGCTTGGCAGGTCCCAGCCATGAACAGATCTGGAAGACCCCTGGCTCACCAGAGAGGGCTCACGCGGGGAGGCAGCCCAGCCTGCCCCACCAGACTCTCACCTCCCTCCCCTTCCTCCTCTTCCTYCAGCCTTACTAAAGATCACAGGAAGAGACCAAAGTATAATAAGCTACTTGTAAGTACGGGGGCCCTGCCCTGCCCTGCCATTTGGGAACCCAACCCCCACCCTAAGCCGAGGCCTGGAGGAAAGACCCCTCATCCTAAGCCCCGCCCCTCGGGTCCACAGGAACACAACTTCATCAAGCGCTATGAGACTCTCGAGGTAGATGTGGCATCCTGGTTCAAGGATGTCATGGCGAAGACAGAGTCACCGCGGACTAGTGGAGTCCTGAGCCAACACCACCTGCCCTTCTTCAGGTAGCCACACGGTGGCTGCCAGCCCCACAGGGGCCAGGGGCTTGGCTATAGGCCCCCCTTCCCCACCTGGCCACCCAGCTGCCCGCCAGGGGAAACCTGGGTTCTGGACGGCCACTGAGGGCTGAGGACAGAAAGTAGGGGACACCCATCACCCCTGACTCCCTGCCCACCAGCCGTGGACAGATGGGCCTACTGGTCCCCAGCCCTCCCCACCCCGGGGTCAGCCGGCTATGTGCGTCCGGTGACAGACACTGTGAATGGAAGACAGCAGGCCGCCAGCAGACTCGCTATTTATTCAGTCGAAACCTCTGGGCTGGGCAGCCCCCAGGGGCCAGGAGAGAGCTCCCACATCTGCACCCCACACTTCCAGCACCTGCCCTCTCTCTCCCCCGACATGTGCTTGCTCTCCATGTCTCTCTGCCCTGTTCCTCTCTACCCCTCTGTCCCTGTCTGGCTTTCCCCAGTTCCTTCTAGTCCCCTGCTTCTCTCCTGGCTCAAGCCTGGGCTCGGGCACCCCACCCCTCTGTGGGAGCTCTGGGTCTACCTAGGTCTCCTTGAGTCCTCACCCCAGGATGGCGGAGTGGTCATTGTGACTGCAGCCGGACCAGGACTGGTTTCTSTCTCTCTTTTCTCTTTCTCTCTCTCTCTCTCTTTGATCTCAGGGGGTCCTTTTTGGAGTTTATTGTATTTTATTGTACTTGGTGGGGTGTTGGGGGGAGGGGGATGAGGAGAGTGTGTCCTCATGGGGTGTGTCGGTACCTTCAGAAACTTTTACCAAAGTCATGTTTAGCTGCTTGTGCTGGGGCCTCCAACTGCTCTCTGGCACTGGGGGGGCTGGGACTTGGGGCTGAGCCAAAGGGGCCTGGGYTACTGCTCCTTGTGGGTCCCAGGCCCAAAGAGGCCAAATACGGGCTCTGGGGGTTCCTCCACCCTTGAGGCTGGAGGCTGGCCGCAGCTTGGGGGTAACTTGAGAGCTTAGGCAGTGGAGGGAGCCCAAGGGGCCTCGGCCATGCAGGATGGCCTTCAGGGAAGGTGGTGAAGGGTGTAGTAGGGAGCAGCGGGCATCAGGGAGGTGGCTGGAAGGCAGGAGTGGGGCCAGGGAGCTGGGGGAGGGCAGGAGGAAGTTAGGATTGAGGGCAGAGGGAGCGGATGTGGAGGTTTGAGGACGTGACAGGGACAGGGATAGGCTTGGCTGGAGTGTCAGGGGAGAGCAGGCCAGGGTGTGGGAGTGTCGAGCCCCTGAGCAACCCTCAGCTTGCCCGCTGGAGCTGGCCAGCCCCCAGGCTACCATAAGGCCTGGGATGGGGAAGGACTGGGCCAGCGTGCCCTGCCCCCAGCCCACCGCAGCAGCCAGAGCAGGATGGGTGTGTTTCCTTTTTGTTGGTGATGCATGCAAATCAAGTGGACAAGAAAACAAACAAAAAAGAAAAAAAAAATTAAATCACAAACATAAACCAACCAACACCAAAGGTGAGGAACCTGGCTGTGCACAGCTGAAGCAGCATAGGCCTAGACAGCCGGGCCTCTGACCTGTCTGTTGACTCATTACACTATTATATTCACACATGCCGCATGTTTAAAATGAAATAGAAGTCACCTTCTCTCTGCCCCCCAGGGAAGGCACCTTCGTCTCCTTTGTGAGGGGATGGGGGCGGGGGTCAACAGGCCTGGCCCCTGCCTTTTTGGGCAGCTGGAAAGGCCCTTGGCTGGTCTCACAGCCAGCACAGGCCTGAGGCTGGGCTGCCTGGGTTTGTTTTTATTTAACTTTATTTTCTGTTTTGTGTGTGTCCACCCATGCCCTCCCTTCAGTGTTGAGTGGGAGCCCCGGGGAGTCGCTCCTGCCTCCCAAGACTTCCCCTCCGCCACCAGCCATCCCTCTGGACCAGAGGACAGTCGGGTGGGCAGGGTCCTGGGGTGGCCTGGCCCAGCCCACCGGCCCAAGAACCCCTTCTCAGGCCACCAGTATTGCCCTGTTCCTTTTTAAAATAAAATGCCCTCGTTTGTAAATCCTTAGAAGCTTGAGAATAAAACCCTTCCCTTTTCTTCTGAGTCTGTCGTGTCATGGGGCTGGTAAGACCTGGCAAGGAGAGGTGGGAAGGGGCCAGAGGAGGGGCGCCATTCAGGTGGATGAGACCCCTGCATTGAGAGGAAACTGAGGCAAGCTTGGGAGGGGGTATTTGTAGTGACTGAGTATCAAGTGGCCTTTGTGAGGTACAGGTACCCCTTCTCCCCAGTGATGTGGAGCCAAGCAAGAGAGAAACCCCTAATCCCTGCAGGCCTTGGACACCAGCTCTGGTATCAACCCTCAGTCCTCCACCCCCGCTCCCTGCTTTCCAGGGTGGCAGCCCATCCAAGGCCAGGGTTGCCTGCCCACCTGCTGACCTGAGAGCAGCCCAAGTAGGTGCCACTGCTGCTGGCCCTGCAGTGCTCCAACCTCAACCAGTGCAGCATGCTGGGCACCAGACTCCTGCTGCTGGCTCTGCTCCCAGGGACCTCCCCCTTGCCTAGTGGGCCGATTGGTATGTAGAGGCTCGGGGCATCCTGGGTGGGTCACGCTCTCATTTCCCTGTTGTTACTTTTCAAGACCTCTGCTTCTGGCGATGGGGGTCTGGCTCTGTCCGGGCTGGCCATCTTCACAAGCCCCAGTAGCCACTGTGAGGATCAGGGCTGGGGGAGTGGAACCTTCTTTACAAATGCGTTTTGGAAGTGGGTGTGCAGATTGTATTTGACAGGGACCCACAGAACGTTGTGAAGGTACTGTGTATGTGCAGGGTCACAGGATAGAGACCCCTTTCTGCTGTCCTGTGCTGCTGCTGCCCTCAGCCTGGGAGCAAAGAGCCAGAAGCAACAAACAAAACCCCAGACTCTGGCCGTCTGGCTGGACTGTGTGCCCTGAAAAGCCTCGGGGAAGGGCACCCCTGTCACCACTTTCCCGTTGGCGACTGCACCGACCTTTTGGGGAACAATACRACCGACATCTCTAACGAGCTGCCTGGGTGAAGGGAGAGACCTCTGACTTCACCCAGTTGACCCTCCGCCACCAGTGCTCCTTGTGGGGAATAGGCTCTGCAGAGGGAGAGAAAGAGGTCTCCCCAGGGGCGCGCAGCCCTGCGCCCTGCCTGGACGRCTGGCTGTTAAGCTCCGGGGCTCACGGGGCTGTCTTAGTAACTCCCCGCAGTCAGGGAACTTAGGGAAACCTTTTCGGAAGAAGGCAGTGGGTGGGGGGGCAGGAGGTCTGGACACTTTCCTGGAGGGTTTAAGGGAATGCGTCTTCCTCCTCTGTGCTGCCCTTTTCCCGCTCCCGCCAGCGCCCCCGTTCCCCGGGGGACCTGGCCCCTGGCTGCGCAGGCCCCTTTTCAGTCTGGAGCTGTCTGACGCCGAGGACGCCTTCCCGCGCCGCGCGGGGCCGCTCGAGGTCCCGGCAGATAGCCGCGTGTTCGTGCAGGTGCGGATCCTGGTAGCACCCAGGGCAGGTGGGTACAGGCGGGAACCGGGCGACCCTGATGGCACCTCTGTCCCTCAGGCGGCCCTGGCCCGACCCTCCCCGCGCTGGGGCCTGTCCCTGCACCGCTGCTCAGTAACGCCGTCCTCACGCCCGGCCTCCGGGCCTGCTCTGGTGCTGCTAAGCGGGGGCTGCCCTGCTGACGCCTCGGTAGCCTTCCCGCCACCGTCGCACCCCGATGCGACCCGCCCCGCACGCTTCAGCTTCCGGCTGCGCCCAGTGTTCAACGCCTCGGTGCAGTTCTTGCATTGCCAGCTGAGCCGCTGCCGCCGCCTCCAGGGAGTCCGCCGGACGCSGGAGGCTCTGACCTCGCCGCCGAAACTGCGGGTGCGGAGAGTAAAGCCGGAAATTTGGGCGCTGGAGACCCTCCGGGAGCACAAGCGTCTCAGGCAGCCAGAGAGAAGCACCTCGGGGTTTGGGCATCTGAGTGTTAGGGTCTCTTGGGATCTGGGGCAAGAATCCCGTGAGGGCAGGGGTTTGGAACTGGGGTCTCTCTCTGGCTGGGTGCGCTAGATGCGGAGACCCCCCCCCTCCCCAGGGACCTGAAGAATTCCTCGTGGGGRAAATGAAATGGACACCGAATCCCCTCTGGATTCAGACTGGATGCAGAAGCCTGCAAAGGGACCAATCTGTGGGCCCTTGAGGTCGGGCTCCCAGGTTCGGTGCTGAGAGCCGGATCTTAAGACTAGAGCGCCTGACATTTGACATCTTCTCCCGTGGGGCCTGGAACCCTAAGGGCTGGATTTCTAGAGGGTCTAAAGGTGGCCTCCTGGCTGCCGTGGGGAACTGGATGCTTAGGGGCTACGCCCCCCCCCCCCAGGGGCGGTTACTGGGGATCGAATCCAAGGGTGCCTTACAACTGAGCGACAGCCCAGTACGCACACACTGACCCCACCACAACTTGAGATCAGGTCTCCTCGCGGAGTTGCTGAGGTCGGCCTCAAACTTGCAATCCTCCCCGCCGAGTCCCCGTAGTCGCTGGGATGAATCCGCACCGGGTGCTTAGGTGTCTTCGGAGGGACTTGAGGACCAGCCCCGGGACCGCCGACCTGACGTCCGTTTCTCTCCCTCCCGCCAGTGTCTGCCCCAGGATGAGGCCTGCGCGGGCGTTGGCAGCGGCAGCGGCAGCGGCGAGAGCCTGGGCGCCGACAGCCCCCACCTGCACACGCTGACGCAGCCTATCGTGGTCACAGTGCCGCGGCCGCCCCCCAGTAAGCACGCCGGGTGCCCTGGGGCCGGGGAGGGCAGCACAGCAGCGTCCCGGGCCCCGGCTTAGCGTTGCACTCTCCCACAGGGCCGCACAAGAGCCTCCCGGGCAGGGCCGTGCTCCCCCAGCCGCCCGCCCCGGCCCCGGGGGCCCTGGAGCCCGCGCCGGTGGTGGCGCTGGTGTTGGCGGCCTTCGTGCTGGGCGCCGCCCTGGCCGCCGGGCTGGGCCTCGTCTGCGCACACTCAGGTACTCCCAGCCTCTTCCCCACGTCCAGACCTGCGAGGCCTCAGGCTTCCTAGATCTGCCTCCGCTAGGCCCCAAGCTCCCCGCAGGGGGCGCTCTTACCCTGGCTCAGGAGCCTCTTCCTTCCAGCGCCTCCACTCCCAAGCCAGCCAACTAGAGCTTCGCCCAGTGGCCCTCAGCCCCGGAGGCCCCAGTGAGGCAGGTAAGTGTGTGGGGGGAGATCTGGAGGAACAGCTGGAGAAGGAAGGCGATAATGACCTTTCATAGAGCTAACTCTAGCGGCAGGCATGGCTCTGAGTGTTTTACACACATTAATCTTTCAAATAACCTTCAGGTGGCTATTATAATGCCCACTAGAGACGAGGAAAATGAGGCCCTGAGGTCTAGTAACTTGCCAAAGGTCATAATGTTTGGTGGAGCCGGGGCTGGAATTCATGGACTGGGGTCACTGAGGTGGACTGTGGGGGTCTGGATGGAAAGGTCCTCAGGTACTAGGCAAGGAGAATTTGGGATTCAGACCCAGTTTCCACTCTCCCCGCCACACAAACTGATATAAGGCCAACGCCTGCTAGGAAGGGGGTGTCTAGTTTCTCCACCTTCGCTCAGCCTGCTCCACTCCTTCCCAGCTGGAGCCTTGCCTGCAAGGGGCACCCAACCATGGGTTCAGGAGAAGGCTCTCCAGGACCTGATCCGCAGTTCTGGACACAACACTTTGGGGCCTCGATCCCTGTGCTTCTCTCCTCCCTTCCTCCCACCCCCATCTAAGCTCAAAATAAACTTCTGGACTGATCCGCTTGAGTTCTGGTGGGGTCAGTGTGTGCGTACGGCGCGGGGGACAGGCTTGGGCTTGTACCTGAGACTAGAATTTGCGGGGGAGGGGATTGGCGGAATCCTATGCCCATACACACGTGTGCTGGGGAGTCAAGGGCGATTCGTTCCAAACAGAAAGTAACACTCAACACTGCCATCTTAAGTTTAACATAAGCTCCACCTTCTCCCACCTCCACTCTGCAATCCTTCGCGCTCCTCCAAACCAGACCGTCTCTGCTGTGCACTAGCATCGCCCGGATCCTGCCTTAGCTCCATCCTCGACCTTCTGCCGCTGCTCGGGTCTTCTGGCTGAGCTGGACTCCACCCTCCTCCGAGGATCCATCAAGTCTAGAATTCCTTAAATTCCTTCTCTGAGTTCCTCCCTCCCCTGCGCATAAACAAAAGTAGGAATATTAGCCCCGGCTTAGAGAGGAGAAAACTGAAGCTCGGCAGCCTAAGCCRCTCGCTCAAGGTTCCCAGGGCTACCCAACTCCACGGTGCAGGCTTTTGACCACGACCAGACAACTGCCTACCCATCTTCGGGAAGGAAAGCACACAAAGTAGGAGTTTTATAAGTTAGTTCTGGAATGTAGAGAGGACACGCGATCCAAAGCGTAGGCTCCAGTTCATGAATGAGACAAAACGCGGAACGTGGGTCTCAGTCGCCCCCGCCTCAATTCTGGTGCCAGTCTTATCATTCCCAAAGGAGATTCCCTTTGGCTCGCCAAGGTGAAGCCACGCCCCCATCTGCGCCCTTCCCGACGCGGGGCTTTCTGGTCTCWGCGGCTTCCGTAGCCCCGCCCTCCGGGCAAGCGGTCCTAGAGCGCCGGCGCCTCTCAGTAGCATGAAGCCACCGCAGCGGCGGCGAGCGGCCCCGGCACGCTATCTGGGAGAGGTGACCGGCCCCGCGGCCTGGAGCCCCCGCGAGAAGCGGAAGCTCCTACGACTACTGCAGGCGCGGCGGGGCCAACCAGAGCCAGACTCGGCCGAGCTGGCCCAGGAGCTGCGGGGCCGGAGCGAGGCTGAAGTGAGTGCAGTGCGGGTATGGGCGTGGAAGCTAGATCATGGGCGGGGCCAGGGAGTGGGCGGGGCCGCCTAGGCTGCCGCGGTCAGTGACGCGTCCACCACTGCTGGAAGTGTGGGCGTGGAGGCGTGAGGCTGAGGGGTGGGGCTGGGCTGGAGACCCAGTGGGTGCCCTTGGTGGGCGGGGCGTGAAGCTGAGGGGAGGAGCCGTGCTGGGTGGGGGAATGGGCGAGCTGGTCCCTAAGGCTGGGACCTGGCGTGAGGCTGAGGGGCGGGGCCAGGAGAGACGGAGATGGGGACCAACTCCGAGTGACAAGCGGTGGAGACTGGGGACCTGGCAAAAGTCGCAGTTAGACGGAGTGGGAATGAGGAGGAAGCAACAGTCAGGAAATGGGGTGGAGTGGACATGAAGAGGTCAGTTTCAGCGTCCGGGCAGCTCTGGGCTGCAGGAGGAACCAGAACAAGCCTGGCCCTTACATCTTTATTGCCTCGCTGTGCCCACTCTGGGGCCTTCTTCCGGAGCCCCCCGCAGAGCCTCGCGGTTCCGAGGCCGGGCCACGCGCAGGCTAGGGAGCTGTGGCTGCGTGTGAAGTAGGCAAGGCTGTGGACTTCGTTTCTCCTCTGCATCCCTGAACTCAACAGGCCCATTCGGCTTGCTCTTTYCCCCTCAGATCCGGGCCTTCCTCCAGCAGCTGAAAGACCGAGTGGTCCGGGAGGCCATTCAGAGGGTGCATCCAGGTGGCCCAAAACGCAGAGAGGCGGAGCCCCCAGCCCCCATAGAGGTGAGGCAGGTGGGCAGGGCAAGGCTTCTCAGGGCTGGCCTCTGTGGGAGCGGGGACCCCCAAGAGGGTCAGGTCTTGGGAGACCCTTGCTGTCTGACGCCTGCTGACCATGTGCCTTCGGACTTCACCCAGGTATGGATGGATTTAGTTGAGAAGATAACAGGCCCACTGGAGGAAGCCCTGACAGCAGCTTTCTCCCAGGTACAGCTGGACCCCCAGGCCATCAGGGTTGTCCCAGGAGACAGGTTGTACATATAAGCCCAAGTAAGGTGGGACTGGGGACGTGGTTTCAGTGGCAGAGCACTTGTCCAGCATGCAAGAGGACCTGGGTCCTGGGCCCTTTTGTCATTTCTGTGCCCCTGACCAGGCACGAGACACCTTGATCTTTCGTGGTGGTCCTGTCTTGGTGGCCATCTTCTATCCGTTGCATTCCTCAGAGTTGTGGGGAGGATTTGGGAAGCCGGGGAGGTGGAGTGCTCAGCCCAGGCCCCACAGGGCAGAGGGAAATGGGGGATTTTCCTGTTTCCTCTCTGCTGGCTCCACCTGCCAGGTGCTCACCATCGCAGCCACAGAACCTGTCAGTCTCCTGCATTCCAAGCCCCCCAAGCCCACACAAGCCCGTGGAAAGTCACTGATCCTGAACATCACTGGCGGGCAGGGGGACACCACCCCAGAGGCCCCTGGTCCTGCCTCTGAGACGCCTGCCAAATCCCCACATGGCCCTGCTGTTGAGGGAGACATCACCATGGACTTTGAGAAGATTTACAAGTACCTGTCCTGCTGCTCCCGGAGTGGTCATGTCCCAGAGCTCTCAGCAGCTGGTGAGAGGAGTTGGGGAGGGCAGGGGGTATGGGACAGGGGTCCTAGGTGGCAGGTCTTGACTTCCCTTACTCCTTCCCTTTCCATCTATCACCAGAGTCAGCTGTGGTCCTTGACCTGCTCTTGTCGCTTCCTGAGGAGCTGCCCCGCCTTCCCTGCACAGCTTTGATTGAGCATATGACTAAAACATATGCTCACCTGATGGCCCCACAGCCCAGTCCCTCTGGTAGAAGCCCTGGACCTGGGGCTGAGGATGGAAGTGCTTGCTCCCAGGGGCCAGAGGAGCCCAGCCAGACCAGCCCCCATGCCCCTGAGCAAGCCACRCCAGGGGAACCGAGATCTGCCTGGCAAGCAGCTGGGATCTGCCCCTTGAACCCATTCCTGGTGCCCCTGGAGCTCCTAGGCCAGGCAGCCACCCCTACAAGGTGAGGGGCACAGCAGGTGGTAGCAACACCCGAACTAATCTGGCCCTTAGTGTTTTGTAGCCATCACTGGGTTGTCATGAGGATTATTTTAGAAGGTCCCTGACATGGTACTCAATGTGGTCTAGTCTTTAGATGCTTTACATGTCAGGGAGTTGTGCAGGGGTCCCCTGGGGATGGCCAGGCAACTGGGTTAATGGAGAATAGGGATGCAGGACTCTACAGACAAGCATCCTGAACCCCTGGACAGACAGATGGAACTGACCTGCCAAGCCCAGCATATCCTTGTTCTCAGATAGCAGAGCCATAGCTGGTCCCCCATACTGTGACCTCCTCACATGCCCTCTTCCCTCTTTTGTCCACACTTTCATTATTTTCATCCCTGAGCCCTCTTCACTCCCCTCTATTCAATGCCCACCACTGCCGGCTCCTCATTTCTTCCTGGGGTGYCCTATGGCTTCTAATAAAGTTCTCATCTACCTGTCCTGCTCTTTTCCCCATGACTAAACAATGGGATTGGGGCTCTGAGCCTGGGGTCATGTGTACTTTGGGGGCCACACCAGGGAGGAGGGTGCAGTCACCAGCACCAGTTGCTGCCTGGCATGACCTTAGTTTGGCCATGAGGATCCCCTTGGCAACCGGGTGGAGGTGGGTCTTGGACAGGTGTGGTTGGGTAGGGCTTATGGGGAGACAGGTGTCAGACAGGTTTTCAGAGCAGGGCAATGTCACATCATACACGCGGAAGGTAGAAGGCAGCAGAGAATACTGATGCCAACCTGGAGGCACAAGGCCATGGGCTGTGGGAGGCTTAAGTTGGGGTTGAGGTGCCCCAAGCAGCAGGAGGCCAGAGGAAGGGGAGTGAGTCCCCAGAAGTGGCCTTAGAGCTTTAGAAAACCCTAGGAGGGGAGGAGAGAAGCAGAGTTGGAGGGGCCTTAGGAGGAGAGTGAGGAGCAAAGCTGAGTGGAGGAGTGGGATCAAGTCCTTGTCAATCCCCAAGATCCCACATTCCTGGGGGTGTTGCTGGGCTTCCACGCACCAACTACACCTGCTGTAGGCATGGAGTAGGGCCGGTCTGGGGTAACCAGGTGTCCTCCCACAGCGCTCCCTCTCCCACGCCTGACTAGCTGCCGGGGAGGAGGCAGGTTGTCTGCTGGCAAGCCTGTGCCTGCACACAGCTTTCCTTTTATAGAAACGTTCATTTCTCCCCACACACTGCACACAGCTCCCCTGGGGCACACAACACATCTCCTGGGCCAGCAGTGGAGCGCAGCCAGCCTACTCAGTGGCCATAGCCTACAGTGCCAGGCCCACTGGTTCCAAGGCACACTTGATGATGGGGGAAGGAAGGACAAGGCCCAGAAGGTTTGGGGCTGCAGGTGTGGTTCCTGGGGATAATCCCCAAGGTTGGCTGAGGATACCCCATCCCAGTTATCCACAGCTCCCAGCATCTCCCCAGATCGAGGGAAAGAGGTGTGTATTTATTTTAGCTGTGCCTGGCGCTGGGGGACAAGACACTAAATGTCTCCCCCTGAAGCTAGAGAATTGGGTTAAGATTATGCAAAAGCCAGACCTGGGTTCCACTTCCAGCCCAGCTGAACATGAGGCAAGAAGCTAACAGCAAGTCCTTCTTAAGTGCCTGGACCTCAGTCCCCTGACCTGTAGAATGGGGATGCTAACAAAGCCCAGCTCATTTTCACCATACGGAAGAGCAAATAGGCTAGGAAAAGGAGGCCCTGAATAAACACGCTGCTTACCACACAGTCAGCGCTCCATAGTATTTATTGTCATCATCATCATCGCTCTGGCAGGGAGAAGTGAAAAGGCATGAGAGGTGGGGTAGGGTGGCAGCGGGGCCAGCGGGAGGAAGCAGGGGGACCGATGGGGACGGAGGGTGGCATGAGGAAGGGCGTGCTGACCTGTACTGGGGCCCAGGTTTGGGGCGGGGATGAGCCTGCCCCGCACTCCTCTTCCACGGAAGGCTCCACACATCCTGGACACAACAGCCACAATGGGTCGTCAAGGGTCCCTCTCCGGGGCAGGCCGCGCAGGATATTATTAGAAGCAACCATCCAACCCGTGGGCCCGAAAGAGCGCCATTAGGGCCGGAGCTCAAGGAGGGGCTCAGCACTCAATCACGGTGAAATTGAGGATGGTCAGAAGACAGAGGTGTGGAGGACAAGGAGTGTCCCCACTTTCAGGAAAGGACACGACACTCATGCCCACAGGCAGGACAATAGCAGAGCCACTTACACGCTGGAAATGACGGGGATCGGTGCGGGAATCCTTTTCCCACCTGGGATTCAGAGTGCAGCGGAGAAGGGGCAGGGCAAATAAAGGCACGAGGCGGGACTCCGGCCAGGCCAAGGGGGAAAGATGGGCGGGGTTAAGGGAGGGCGGGGCTTCTCTTAACGCCCGGGCCCCGGGCTGGGGATTCCGGGCCAGGATCCTCAGCGCAGTCCTGACCAGGAGGTGCCCCTGCCCGGGTGACCCTCGGAGGCACAGTTAAGGGCCGGCCCGGGACGCCRAGCCCCTCACACCAACGCGTAGTCAAACTGCCCACGCTCGAGCGCCTCCTTGTGGTCGGTCCAGGACGAGGCGGGCATGCGGCTGTAGGGGTCGAGCAAGATGCGCACGCAGCGCACCATCAGCAGCACCAGCACCACGAGCAGGCAGAGCACGAAGGCGAACACCGTGCGCTGCTCTGCGTCCAGGCCCGCACCCACTGGGGGTCCTGTCGATGGCGGCAGCGGCTCCGGTGACAAAGTCCACGTCGCGCTCATGGCTCACATAGCCGCACGCCCTGCGGAGGAGGGGGCCCGCCCAGGGCTCACGGATGAGGCTACGCCCTCCCGCGCCTCCGCGTTGCCCTCTCCCGCCGCCGCCGCCGCCCCCAGGTCGTGCCTCGCAAATCCCCAGCCCGCGTCGCCGTCCCCGGGCTACGCCCATGGCCGGACCGCGGCTTACCACCACCACCACCACGCGGGGACCCAACTCCGGCAGTGCGCGCAGGCKGGGGCGCTGAGAGCCGGGCCAGGAAGCCCCGACCGGCCCAGCCCGCGCACAACAGGTGCGAACGCGCGGCCAGTGGCCCGAGCTACACCGCGGAGGCGAGTCCCCGCTTCCCCAGCCTCACTCCCTTTGTTCTCTGAGGCCGGGGACCCCTTCCCCCACCCACGCCGCCCTCTCCCCGCGCGCCCCTCACCCTGGCTTCAACCTGGACCCGGACGGGCCACCCGGCGGCCTCGCTCTCTCCAGGGACCTATACCAGCTCCGCTCTCGGTCTTTCCCCGGCGGCGGCAGCAGCAGCGACGGCGGCCCCGGCTCAGCCCACCCCACCCGCCCCTGGAGCGGCGGAGACCGAGGCAGGCGAGCCGCGCGCCAGCCGGGCCGCCGCGGCTGTTCCCATGGAGACGGGGGCGGGGCCGCCGCGGGGGGCGGGGCTGCGCAGCCAGCGGCGCGCGGGCTGGCTACTCCGTAGTGGCCTGCGCCGGGACGACGCCCCCACCCCAGGCCTGGGCAGACACCCAGCTCCAGGACTCCGCGAGCACTTGGAACCTCACCCGGGAGTGAACAGCAGCCACTCCTCTCCCACCAACACCTCGGACCTCTGGAGCTCGGCGACTGCAGCTCCATCCTCCCCAACAGGCCCTTCAGCCAACACCAGAGAGTCCTAATACCACCAATCACCACTCAGTATGGGCGGCCAAGTTACTCCATCCCTGAGGACCCCAGCCCAGCAGATCCCCTAGGGGAGTTGATCCCCCTACTTTTCCTAGGCACTGGTCTTCCTGTCAACAAGCAGGCAGGGTCCCAGCCAGGGCAAGTCCCTCCTCTGGGGCTGCAGTTTCTTCTCTGACCTTGAACACCTGGCCTCTCCATGACAAGCTGGCCGGCTCCCAGTCACCAGCCACCACCCCCCAACCCCAGAGAAGCACACAGACCATCCAAGCTGCTCTTCTGCACTTTGGTGTTTTATTATTTCCAAACCTCAGGCTTATGTACAGGAAATAAGAGCACTGATAAAGACAGACCTAAAATGGCCTGGCTGGTGTGGCCAGCAGGCCCCTGGGAGCTGCAGCCTTTGCCCCACCACCCTGTCCCCAGGGGGAGTTCCCCTCCTGAGAGCCTGTTGGCACTGTGTGGCTGGTACACCCATGGTGACCCGCTGTCAGCAGCTCCAGTCTGGTGCTGTGGGGCACATCTCCAGCCACCAGACACGTGGCACCTGCAACCCCTTCCTTGTCCAGCTGGTTCTCTAACTCTCTGTCTGAGCTCCAGGCATAGACCAGAGTACTGTCCCCAGAGGTCTATAGTTGCCAGGGGTGATGCCCCTGTATATGTGACCCACATGATCCAGCCGCAGAGCTCCCTGGTCACTGCTGCCTTGCTCAGAGGATCTGCTCTGAGCCGGAGGCAGAGATGTCCAGGAGTCGCCAGGCTGCGTAGGGGTTGAGCTCATCCTGATCTCGGCAGAGGGCCCACATGTACAGCATGCGCAGCACCTTGTCCTGTGGAGCAGAATGGGGCATGAGGGACTGGGGCTCAGGAGGCAAACAGGGACAAGGGGCTATTGACAGGCAGGGGAGGACACATGGATCAGGGAGGAATCAGGGTGCTGGGATGGGTCCCACTGCTCAGGTCTTGGTAAAATTGGACAACCGATGATGCATCCTCTGATGACCAGGCCCAAACTCCTGTCCTAGGTTTCTCCCCATTCCCACCAGGTCACAGAAATTACTGGTTCCAAGCTGGCATCTGTGCAGGGTGGCCACAGGYAGGGTCTTGGGGGTGGGAAGTTGTGCCCCCTCCCCCCAGAGTTCCCCCACTTACCGGGTCACCCTCAACCACCTCGCCTTTGGGATTTCTGATCACCATCACCAGCTGGGCCTGGAAGGTGATGATCAGCACGGGACCCTGCTCCATCATCTTGCCCATGGCCAGCTGCAGGTAGCAGAGAGGGCAGCAAGCCTCAGAGAAGGGCCTAGCCCTCCCTGCTGCTCCTGGAGGTGGGACCTCTGCTGTGGCCCTTCCTCCTGAAGCACTGCCACTCAGACCAGGACTGGTCCACTTCTAGGAGTGGGGGGACATTTCCCATGAGACTCTTCCCATAATTTCAAAGACCAGGACTTAGACTGTGAATGTGCATGAAGGCCACAGGGGGGAAGAGAGAGGGAGCTGGCTCTGACATTCCTACTGCTCCCCAGAGGAAGGAAATCGGGGGGGTGGGGTGGTAGACTAGCCATTGGGGGCTCTCAGGAATGCAATGTCTGGGCAGTGCCCCAAACCTGCCTAATGACACAGGTGCTCCTGGAAGCATGATGGAGTTGCATCCTGATAAAACCATCAGAAGTTAAAAATCGGGGCTGGGGATGTGGCTCAAGCAGTAACGCGCTCGCCTGGCATGCACRGGGTGCTGGATTCGATCCTCAGCACCACTTAAAATAAAGATGTTGTGTCCACCGAAAACTAAAAAATATTAAAAAAAATCTCTAAAAAAAAGTAGTTAAAAATATCACTGCTGAACACACACCGAATGCACCCAGCCTACAGCGCATCCTGGCGTAGCCCAGCCTGTCTCAGGCACGCCATGACACCTACATTAGCCTACATTTGGGCAAAATTCTAACACAAAGCCTATTTATAATGAAGTTATTACAAGGAATTTTAAATCAAAATTCTAAGTACAGTTTCTACTGAATGTGTATGCTTTTGCACCATCATAAAGCAAAAAAATCTGAAACCACGGAAGTGGGGGATCACCTGTATCCCAACCACAGGACTATGGAAGTCCCTTTCTGCAAAGGGACCCTGCAGCTCATTTAAACGCCTGCCTATACTGAGTGTGGGTGCTAACCAGCAGGTTGTCCCAGTCCAGGTGAAGCTTCCCCTGTCCCCTGTGTGGACCACAGCCCCCACCCCTCAGGGCTCCACCCTCAGAGGCACTTACGTCAATGTTGTCAATGTCTAGGACGCGTGAGTGGAACTGGAGGCCCAGGGCCTTGGCCTGCTGGATCGGGTGGGCCAGCTGACTGTAGGTCTGCAATGAGAGGCCAACATGCTGGTGTGGACGGCCATCCAGGGCAGGTCACAGACTCAGCTCCACTTGGAACCAATGTCTACACACCCTGGCACCTGGGTGAGCAGACAGTGGGAGCAGAGGCCAAGAGCATGGGTCCAAGAGGAGGTAGGTGCCACCAACCTGCTGGCCTGAATCACACACTTTCCTCTTTATGGGAAGAGTGTGTCTCCCAAGTGAAAGCTGTATTAATCAGCAAACGAGTAATTCTGCTGGAACGCCATCCAAAGCACTCCCAGGGCAAGGGGGCGGATCCTTGGCTGGTCTCTAACACTGGGTATTTACCTCCGCTGGACTCTTGGCCTGGAACCGGATGCCTTTTCTAGGATTTGTCCTAAACCTAAGGGTGCCTCTCTCATGGACCAGCCCCAAAAGACACCCTCACTGCTCTGTGCCTGCTCTCAGACTGCGGACACGGCCCCCAAGACACATGCAGTTATGGACATATTCACTAGAAGCTTCTCTGGGCTGGGCAGGCCCCTAGGATGCAAGACACTCTGAAGGCATATACTTTTTATGGAAATAAATGATTCTCAGAAGAAAAAAAATCGTGCCAATCCTGCTTTTGGCTTTTTAGAGATGACATTTCAAAAACACCTCAGTGAGCAGCTAGAACTTCAGCTGTGTTTCCAGGAGCACCAGCAGCTCTCTGGCAAAGATGATCAGCCACAGCTTAATGGTCCCAAACTAAAAAAAAAGAAAACCCACAACTCATAAATGCCTGCTGGATTAGTCACGGTGCAGGGGAGTATTTAAAAGGGAAACCTGACAGAATCTTCTGCTTTTTCCAAGTTGTTTGTGAGCAGGGTGCAGAATAGAATGAGCCAAAAAAAAAAAAAAAAAAAAAAAAAAAAAAAGTCCGAATTGCTTCAAAGAAGCTGGGGAGGAAAAACAAAGCATATGGCCAAAGAGGCAGCTCAGGGAGAGTGAGGAGGGTGAGGCAAGATGGCCTGAGCAGACAGGCGCTGGGAGCTCCACAGGCATGGGGAGGCTGCCAGGAGCGGGGCAGACAGTGTTTGCTCTGGGGATGCCTGCCCAGCCTCCTTGTGCTGACTCTGATGGTGGCCCCAAGGCCCCAAGCACTGACCCTGGGAAGCAGCTGGGCCTTGTCAGGACGTGCTGCTCCCCCCTGGGCAGYAGATCTTGTAAGAACAGCCTTGTTCTTGTAAGACTATAAGATTGTAATCTTGTAAGATTGCCAGGTGCTTTGTACATCTAGGTTGGCAGTGTACCCTTGCACCCCAGTGAGGTAGGTGTGGTGATAAAGTCTGGCTCAGGGGACAGGTGAGCCAGGTTAGTGAGGTACCCGCCAAGCGTGAAATTCAGGAGTGCCAAGGGAACATCTGGTTTCTTTACCCAGGGTAATTCACTGACCTTTTTCACCCTCTGCTTGACCCCTGGACTCCAAGCCTGTGCCCCAGGCCACCTTGGCCACAGGGTCCTGCATCATATCTTTACGGCCACCTGACCAGAGCAGGAAAAGATGCTCAACAGGCCATCCTGGAAACCTTACCTTTACTCCATAGCTTAAATCAATTATGGCTCTTTAATTAAAAAAAAAAAAGAAAATTGTGGTATTGGGACTTGAACCCAGTGGCACTCTACCATTGAATCACATCCCAGCCCTTTTAATTTTTGAGACAGGGTCTCACTGACTTGAGATCCTCCTGCCTCGGCCTCCAAAGCAGCTGTGATGACAGGCGTGCACCACATGCTTGGCTCTTAATCAAAATTAATTTAAGATGAGGGGGGTGGGCAGGAGGCCCAGGAAAACTGGCAACTCTGTGACATCAGGTTGTCCCTTGGCACTGAGTAGGAGGAACCCTTTCTTACTGAGGAGCTTCTGTCTGCATGCAGAGGACCTGACGCCCACGGGCAAAGATGCATGTGCAGAGGGAGGGCTAGAAGGCTGGCTGTGGGCTCTGCATGGGGCGAGCACCTCTGGTGTGGCACTCATGGGCACAGACACATTTGCTGAGGGAGAGATGGGGGGCGGGCTGCGGCTCTGTGCCAGCGAAGCATCTGACACAGACTCGCTCCCTTCCAGAGCCAGGGTCGTCCTGCTGTCCCATCCTCAAGCTAGCTAAGCAGGCCTTCTTCACACGTGGTCTTTTGGGGGGTGGGGGGCCTGGGGATGGAACCCAAGGCCTTGCTGGGCAAGCACTCTACCACTGAGCCACAGCTAGCCTTTCTGGTTTTTTTTTTTTTTTTTTTTTGGCAGAAAAAGAGAGAAAGAAAAAAAACAGTACTCACAGCTTCATAGCACCAATCTTTGAGAATGTCGAGCTCTCCAGAAATCATGGCCTAAAAAGGGAAAAGAAAAAAAAAAGTGTGAGAACTAAGTGGGCTTTTGAGGTAGAACTCTTGAGAACATTCTCTGGTGGGGGCCTTTCCTCAAAGACCCCTGGCCCCTCAGCCTGTGAGTGTGAGTCTAGAGAAGGACATTTCCACAGGAACCTGGCTCAGGGTTGGATCTAGGAAGGTAAGGGAAGTGCCGGGAGAGGGGCGGGGGGCAGGAAGGAGCCAAGCTCTGAAGGAGAAACTGTGGCCAGGCTGAGGCCCAGCACCCAACTCCCCCACCCACCTCCCTGCCTAAGTGGTGAAAAGGACATGGGAGCGGAAGGACTTCCTGTGGTCCCACAACAGGCCTAAAGAAAGCCTGGCCTGGCTGGGTGGGTGGGTGGGGGCTGCCCAGGCTCCTGTCACACCCCAAGGGCTACAAAGAGGCAGAGAAAGGCAACTGGCCTTGGCAGGTGGGTGGCTGCAGTCCGACTTAAGCAACACCCCCCTCCTCACAGACGAACGGGGGAACAAGAGCAGCTCAATGTGGATTGTGGGATTGCCAGGGACAAGGCCCAGGAAATGTCCCTTGGTTATGGGTGTGGCTGGGGCACCCTGTTAGAGCGTGAATGCGGTAGGTGCCTGCTTCTCCCTGACCCCAGAAGGCCACACCAGGGCACCTGTGAGGAACAGCCTCAGGCAGGGAGAAGGGAAGTGACACTAGGAGACGCAGGACAGGGTTCYGGGGAGGCAGGGTGCTGCCTGGCGACAAGGAGGAAGGATTCCTRGAGCAGCCAACTCTGGGCAAGGCACGACCCCCAACTGTCACCATCCCTGGAGCAGCGTGGACCACGGTAGGGTCAAGCCCCCTCCTGAGACCCTGTCATGGGTGCACGTAGTTAGGCATCTGTACCCTGGACAAGGCAGAGGGCAGGCCTGTGGGGCAGCTGCAGCCAGGTAGGAGCCTAGAAGTATCTGCTCAGAAGACAGTTCCAGCGGCCACGCTCCCCTGGGGACACTGCCTGGGTAGGAAGAAGTTGGCCAGAGAAGCAACCACCCCAGGAGGGGCCCTGCTAGGGCGTGGCAAGCACCTCCAGGACGTTGGGGATGATGTCATTCTCGCACTGCTTCAGAAACCGGTCCTTGTCGAAGGCCGGGTCCACCCGCAGGATCTCAGTGAGCACCTCTGACATCTCCGTCTTGGAGAACAGGCCTCCTATGGGAACCAGAGCCTGGGGTGAGTCAGGACCCTGGTTCCCTCCCCACTGCCTGCCAGGTGTGGGGGACCCCTCCTGCAGCACAGCACTCACCCAGCAGGTCAGTGACCCTATCGGTCAGGGCCCGGGATGCTCGGATGAGCACGTTGTCACTCTCATCATACTTCATCTTCATCTCAAAGAACCCTGTGGGGGAGGGGGTTGAGAAGGGCCCTTTCCAGAAAGCTGCCCAGCTCCACAGCTTCTGGGGACTCCCTACAGCCCCTGTGAGACCCACAGGGGATCTCTGAGCCTGCCTCCTTATCTGGGCCCAGGACTGCTGCCTGCTGACCTACCTGGCGAGGTCACGGAGACCCTCGGCTGGGGCCCTAGAGGGGCTGTGCAAGTTATGGGTTGCCACCCCTGCTGGCTGTGGCTTCCACTACAAAGGAAACAGAGGCCTCTAGTGGTCCTCCCAAGACAAGGGACAAGGGCAAGTGGCCTGGTGGCTCTCTGGCTCAGCACCTGGGAAATCCCATGCCCAGCACAAGGCAACTCCAGCCCCAGTGGCTGCCACGGGGCCCTGGGCTGGCCCTGACCTCTGAAAGCACCAGGGTTCCTGGTGTCCTGACCATTCTATGAGGGAGCAATTGCCTGGCATCTTGGTAGCAGAATCTATAACTGAACCATCAGGTGGCCTCATAAAGATGACCAGCCCTTTGTAAACGGTCTCCATTTCTACAAAATGGGAATCTGTCCAGTGGCCAGAGTGGGCACACTGACCAGTGTCCACTACTATCACCCCRCCAGAACTTGACAGGAGGGCTGTACTCACGATTGAATACCACGTTGTTGTCTTTGAAGTCCTTCCACTGCTGGTACCACTTGGAGTCCTTGTGCAGCACGACTCCCAGAGCCTCCCTGGGATGGACGCTGGTGTAAGCTGCAGCCCTGGTGCCGCTGGGCCCTCCCATTACCATGGGAGGGACAGCAGAGGGCGACCCCAGGCCCACAGCCACGATGACCCCATCCTCACCTCCTGCCCTCTCTTCTCCCTCTGTCCCACCCTTCTGGCTCCTTCCAATTTTCCTGAGGGAGCCAGAAAGCCCAAGCAGAGACCAGGCCGTGGCAGACCACAGGCATGATCCTGARGATGGCGTCAGGGCAGTCTGGGACCTACTCGTTGGGCTCAAAGACTTTCTCTTCTTTGAACTTCTCTCCTGAAAACTCCGTCCTTTTCCTCAGCCGTTCAGGCCTGCGGTAAGGCCCAGTCTGCCCCAGAACACTCTGGTCGATCTCCTTCTTCACAGACTCTACCCCCTGAAGGACAGCAGCAGACCTGTGAATGCCTGGGTGACCACCAGCCTCACCCGGACACCACCCTGGCTGCCATGCTGCCTGGCTCAGCTCCACTCACCTGGGAGAGGGCCTTGAAGGCCGCCGTCTTGCCCAGCTTCTCCCCTCCCTTGGACACAGTCTCGGCAGACTGCTTGGCTGTCTTGGCAGCTTCTTCCATCCCCTCCTTGATCTTTCGGCCAAGGTCACTCTTGCTGACTTCGTCAAGACTCTACTGAGACAGATGGAGAGATGGGCATTCACACAGCACCCACCCAGACCTGGACAGGTCCACCACTTAAAGCTGAGACCAGCGATACACACTCAAGAACACTGCATTCAATTTCTGGGGTATAGAACCCCTGGACTCCAGGCCAAATACTGGGTTTAATGACCTCTCCCCCAAATAGGTAGGAGTCCTCCAGAGGGCAGGGAACCACCTGCAACAGGGACTCCAAGGAGCAGCAGTGCAGGGTGAGAGTGGCGGTGAGGGTGCCCGATGCCAGGTCCTCAGACCTGCACCCAGGCTGTCCCTCCTGGTGTCTCACATCCACCTCACCCTTAAATGGGGGCAACGTCATCAGCGTCCAGCAGATGGGCCATAGTCCTGCCTCACCCCAGCTGACCTCCACTCCAGAAGCCTCCCGGACAGTGTGGCTGCCACCACAGTCCTCCGCACACTCACCACACCACTGCCAGGCCAGCCCGTCACATGCCCGTTCCCCCTGCTGTCAACACCCCCTGGATCCAGGGTTACTGTGACCCCAGAGGACTCCTGGCCACATCTGCCCATTACCTCCTTCACTGTCCCCGTCAGCTCCCCCAGCTTCTTTTTTATCGCCTCGCTGGTTCGCACAGTCTCCGACTCGATGGTTTTCTGTGATAAAGAACATGGCTTCTTTTTATTCCTACACAAGTGAGCTTTACCTTATAACCAAAGGCCCCAGGAGGCGCTTTCTCTGTAGCCCAAACTCCCCACAGAGGCCCAGAGGCCTCCCCCACAGGTTCCACACAGCCCACAGCTGGGCTGGTGTMTCAGCAACTGCAGGCTCCTTGCCAAAGCCAGCAGCCTAGGTCCACCTGGCAGCCACCTCCAGAGCACGGGCACCCCAGCCCTGGGTCTTCCTCTGGGTGGCAGGAGGTAGTTCCCTATCCACTTGGCAGCAGTGTTATCTTGAAGGGCGGCTCTTGGCTTCATCTTCTCTTACTCTGCCTTCCACCCTGGCCACCTCCCCCAACCTCAGCCTGCTATCCCCAAATCAGCCCTTCCTAATGATTTGCCATCTAGCTGAACACTCAGTGAGGCATTCCATCCTAGTGAGCAACTTGGGGACACTCAGGGAAAAGGCCTCTTCCATGACCTGCTAGGGATCAATAGAATAAAATACCAAACCAGGTGTGGTGGTGCAAGCCCATAATCCCAGCAACTTGGGAGACTGAGCCAGGAGGATCGCAAGTTCAAATAGTTTCAGCAATTTAGCGAGACCCTAAGAAACTCAGTGAAACCCTCTCTCTAAATAAAAACACTAAAAGGGCCGGGGATGCATCTTAGTGGTTAAGTGCCCCTGGGTTCAATCCCTGGTACATTAAAAAAATATATAAAAATAAAAATAAAATAAAATACCAAGCAACCTGGGGCAAGTATGCCCTGAGGCTCAGCCACTCATCTTTAGGATGGGTAAGCTGTCCTCCTGCAAAGCCCTTACATGGTGTTCACATAMAGGTTGCCGAGTCAAGTCCAGGCTGGTGCTTGGTAGCTGCTCAATAAAAGTCAGCAATGGTAATTGATAATGACCCTGGCATTGTAACCCAGTTTCTACCACTACAAACAAAAGTTCTCAGGAGCAGTACAYCTAAAAGATCATGTGCCATAGATGACCCAATGTAGACCTGACCCAGCTGGTTAGGAGAGTGAGACTCCAAGACTGTCTCACAGTTCCCAGGAGAAGCTGATGCTGATGATCTGTGGACTGTGTGGGTGGGAATGGGGGGTGGGGAAGGTGACAGGGGGTGGAACCAGAGCCTCGTGCATGTTAAGCACAACTCTACCACTGAGCTACACCCCAGCAACGACACAAAGTGCACTGCAGAGAAACCGCAGAAACAAGAGACCTGGGCAACCCACTCCTGTCCCCTGGGAACTCCTYATCAGTGCAGCAGCCTCACCTCCTCACAAGCAACCCCTTCCTCAACCACAGGGCCCTGCCCTGGAAACAAGTGTGGAAGGGGGGCGGGGTGTGGGGGGACAGAGCAAAGGGACTCACATATTTCCTTCTGGCTTCCTGGAGCGCATCAGACTCTTCCAGCTTCTTGGCTTCATCCCGGAATTTTTTTATACTTTCTTTCATCTCTTTGTTTTTGGCCAATTCTTGTTTGATGTTATCTACCAAGCCAGACAGAAAACCCTTTCTGTTTCCAGAGGAATATGATTTGGACTAGAACAAATGTAAAAGAAAAAGTTAGAGACTGGAAGAACACATATGAAAACACCCAGTAACTACTGAGGGACTGGGAGGCATTCTAAAATTTTTTTATTGATTCAAGTTCAAAAATGAATCTCTTATCTATTTCTCTCCTTTTTGCAGTGCTGGGGATCAAACCCAGGGCCTTGCACATGTCAGGAAGACACTCTACCATGGAGCCACACCCTCAGAAGATGAATTAAAGAAATACCTGATCATAAAGGGTGGTACAGTTAGCCCTTTRTATCCACAGGTTCCATGTTTTGGAATTCAACCAAACACACATAAATACATTTTAAAAAAGAAGCTGGGTACAGTGGCACATGCCTATGATCCCASAGACTGGGGAAGCTGAAGCAGAAAGATYACAAGTTCAAAGCCAGCCCAGGCAACTTAGCTATAACCTGTCTTAAAATAATAAAATAAAAAGAGCTGGTGGTAGAACACCTCTGAGTTTAATCCCCAGAAACTGCATCTGTACTGAACATGTACAGACTTTCTCCTTATTATTCCATAAATAAATGCTATCTCCACAGCATTTACTTCACTAGTTATTTTAAGTAATTTAGAGATATTTATAGTCTAGGGGAGGATTGTGCAGATTCTATGCAAATATTGTGCCATTTTATTGAGCCTACTCAGATTGTGTTATCTATATATCATGGAACCAATCCCTGGCAGATACCAAGGGAAACTGCACATCCAACAGTGGAATATTGAGAAATGAACTCTTAAGCCACAAGGAAACCTGAAATGTACTCTACTAAGTGTTAATGAAGTAATCTGCAGGGCACAGTGGCGCATGCCTGTTAATCCCAATGGCTCAGGAGACTAAGGCAGGAAGATTTTGAGTTCAAAGCCAGCAATGGCGAGGGTGCTAAGCAACTCAGTAAGATGTTGTCTCTAAATAAAATACAGAAAAGGGCTGGGGACGTGGCTCAGGGGTTGAGTGCCCCTGAGTTCAACACTCTGTACCAAAAAAAAAAAAAAAAAGAAGCCAATCTGAAAAGGCTCCAGACTGCATAATTCCAACTCTATGACTCTCTGGAAAAACTGATCAGTGGTTGTTGGGGATTGGGGGAAGGAGCGATGAWCAGGCAGAGCACAGAGGATCTCTAGGAGCGAAACTACTATGTATGAACCTGGACACATGTTGTGGTTTAACAGTCAACAGGATTCATTTGTCAGGAGCCACAGAATGTACAACACAGAAGTGGTCCCAGCCAGGCAGGGGTGCACACACCTGCAATCCCCGCAATTTAGGAAGCTAAAGCAGGAGGACCACTTAGCAAAGCCCTCGACTTAGCAAGACCCTGTCTCTAAACATAAAAAGGGGGCTGAGATTGTGGCTCAGTGGTAGAGTGCTTGCTTGCACATGGAATGCACTGGGTTCAACTCAGCACCACATAAAAATAAACAAACAAAGATATGATTCCATCTACAACTTAAAGATTTTTTTTAAAAAATGAGGTAACTCTTTTTATAGCTTTATTTTATTCATTTATTTTTTTTTTATGTGGTCCTGAGTTTTGAACCCAGGGCCTCACATACGCAGGGCTAGCACTCTATCACTGAGCCACAACACCAGCCCAAGATTTAAAAAAACATATATAAAAAGGGCTGCAGATGTAGTGATAAAGCACCCCTGGATTCAATCCCCAATGCCCCCCACCAAAAAATCCCAAAGGTAAACTATGGACTTCAGTAAATAACAATGTATCAATACTAGCTTATCAATTGTAACAGATACCCCCACATACTAGACTTGAATAACAAGGCAAACAATGTGCCCAGATAGTGGGGAGGAGGTAGATGGGAAGTCTCTATACTTTTTGTTCAGTTTTCCTATAAACCTAAAACTGTTTTAAAAGAAAGTCTATTTAAGGCAAAACAAAATACAGTCTCCTTCCTCACCAGAAGAAACAAAGGACAAATGGCTAGGCTAGGTCCTCATGAGCATGAACCCAAAGCAAAAGTCAACAACACGGAAGGGACTCTCATCCCAGGGATAAACTGTGAAGAACTCTGTAGGTCCTAATTCCAAAATCCAGCACAGGGCTTCTACTCTTCCTGGCCCCTCTAGGAAAACTTTGGCCATTTCTGGTATCCAGCTCTCATCCATGTCACCCAAGAGCCTGGTGACCATCACAAACCTCCCTTTCTTAGCCCATAGGAGAAGAGTCACAGAGAGCCTGCATCTTGGGAAAACCCAACACATCCAGATGCAGAGAGAAACCAAGGTGCAGCTCCAAATACAGGAGCCAATGTCACACACTACTTAGGGGTACATGCTTCGGGTCAAAGCTGGACTTAAATTCTGCTTTGCTATATGTATAGCAACAAAAGGGCTCAATAAAAATAATTTTAAAAATGCTTAAAAAGTGATGTAAGAGAGTCAACACAGGGAAGTGGCCAGATGTGTTTTTGTTTTTGTTTTTTTTTTTTATTTATTTTTTTTAGTTCTTGGCGGACACAACATCTTTGTTTGTATGTGGTGCTGAGGATCGAACCCGGGGCCGCACGCATGCCAGGCGAGCGCGCTACGGCTTGAGCCATATCCCCAGCCCCCCAGATGTGTTTACCTCATTTAGGATATGCCACAATAGCTGAGGGGCTGCTTTCCCAACATCAAAGTTGACTGCCTCCCTGGCCTTTATCAAGCCAAAAGAGAAAGYAGCAGCTACCCTCGTGCTGCTCTTTGGAGAGATGGCCAGGCCTCTGGTTGGTAGGCTGCAGCCTCATTCCCATCCCAGCCTTTCTCCAAAGGAAGTCCAGGTCCTAAGACCTTCAGGGATTCTGCCATCTTGCACCAGCCCTTCCATATATTCTAGGGCTGCAAACTGTGGGTGTAGGGGACTGCACAACTAAGGAAAAGAATCATGGGGCCTGTCCTATATCCGCAGATTCCAGAACAGAATCAGGGGGGTAATTAGCTGCCTGCAAGGAATTAGCTGAGTTGAGGCCTTGGGTGTAGGAAGAGAGGGTGTAGGTTGCCCCAGCATACRTTGGGGCTTCCGGTCTCACTCATAGTTGTGATACTAACAAAAGCATGGGCAAAGAGAAGTGACCAGGACAAAGTGAAGTCCAGAAACATCAGAGTGACTCTGATTCAATGCCTAAAGGGCTGTCTCCCAAAAAAGGGGACAACTGTGTCTGATGAGGGACCCAAGGGCAGAGGCAATGGGGAGAAAAGGGGTCTTTTCTAGTCATCAGAGCACTCAGTGTGCTACTCTGTGAGGTACGAGTACCCGATCCCCAACAACATCAAGCAGGATGCTGCCCAAGCACTTCCTGGCATACTGAGAAGATCTAGCACACTGGGCTCTATATCTTCAAACAACCTGGGCACAGAGGCACACCATTGACAAACCCCTGGTATCATGAGCATGGTATCGGGATGCCACTTACCAGTGGCAGCTCTCCACCTGGCCGGCATATCTGGTAGGCTGAACCATGGGGTAGATTGTGGCTGGAAAGAAACTGGACTCCACTGCCAAGGCATCTCTAATTGGAAGAAAAAGGAGAAAGGTCCATTCAAACAATAGTTTGTCTAGGAAGTAAGCAGACCACTCAAAAATGCTGGAGTCACCTGCAATGCATTTGCCAATTTTGACCAAGTGTTTGCCGTATGCTAGACAATCTGCAACCTTCCCAAGTCTGAGAAGCCAATGGAATCTGACAGAAAAGAGAAAATGCTACATCTGCACTTCCAAGGCATTTCCTGCCTCTGAAACTGGGAAGTAGGGACTGGGGGTCAGAGGTCCCAAGAAATGTCAACCTGTGGGGAAGAAGGCTAAATATATCAGTACAACTTAATCCCTTAGCCTGAAAGAGGACATGCTAAACTTCCATGCCAGTGGCAAGCAGTCTTCTTCACAAGCCCACCCCACTCTTGCTAGCCTCCAAAGACAAGAGACCTGAATTTTCAAAGGCAAACTCATAACTTACTGCCCCACCGACAATGCTGAAATAAACCTGCAATGTCCTGRTCAAAAGTTGGGCTGCAAGCAGAGCAATTTAGTGGAGTCATTCTGGGAAAAACCCCAGTCAATTTCATGTGAAAGGCACTTTCTTCTCTTACCAAATGATGAATGTTAAGCTGGATTCTATTCTACTCTGCACCCTAACATCAAACACTGAAGCCTAGTGCACTAAAATCAAATGACCTAATAGAACCACTCTTCCATTTCCTGGGCCTTTTCYTTCTCTATTCCCTACCAGTTCTGGCAACCACCCGCAACATCCCAAATTTACACAAGTACCACTACTGCCTAATGGTTAGTCAAGGATAACTCTTGGGAATGTAAATAACTTGTTTTACGTCTCTATATGCTTACACCCACTGATTCCAGAAGCAGTAACATCAGCAATCCTATGAAGTAAAAGAAGCTATTTAATCTGGGAGAGAAATCTCATGCTAGGATGAAACCTGAGTTTAGTTTCACCTAATCTCAAATTTGCCCAATCCAAACACGTGTAAATTCAACCTCTAAGGAGTAATCAATACTGATTCAAAGACACTTTTTATCCTGATATTCAGCTTCCTGTGAAACATTTTCCTTCCTCTTAATCCAAGGCTCTGTATTCAGGTTGATCCATGTTTTGGACCTGTCAGTCACCTAATAGCTCTAGACTGTGGGCAGGTGGCTTAACTCTTCTGAGTTTCTAGTTCCTTCAACTAATGAAACAGGACGAAAGGATCGCAACATGATACACTAGCTTCTGAGTGTGCATTACAAGCCCTGATTCCCATCGCCCTACGGACCCGAGAGTTCTCAATCTTAGGGGGAGAAATAAGTCCCGCACTTCCACGCTGGGCGTGAGGAGAGGCGATGTTGGAAATGCCCTCGGTAGAAGACCTGGCATTTGAACGCAAGCTGTGAATGTCACTTTCTTTGCTTTCACCTGGCTACTTTTTCTTCAAGGGGCACTGTCGCTCGAACCACCATTCACTTCCCCGTGCACATGGAGTCTGATGAGCGAGAGGTGACTAGCTCCCCTTCAGGCTCTGCGCACAGCCGCCCCCAGCYTGGTGTGCTCGGTCCCCTCACTCAGGCCTCGCTACGTGCTCTCTGGCCCGGCCTCAGGTGACCCAAAGACCCAACCCCAAGCCTCCACGGGAAGGGCTACAAGAGCCGAGGGCCTGAGGAGGAGGCCTCAGAGGCTGCGCACCCAGAGCCCCCTAAACCCACTCGCCAGCCCCGCAAGTCCGCTCACCCGCGGACAGCGGCACCAGCCACCCCGCAGCGCCGCCGCCGCCATGTTGGAAGATCCCGTGTGACCTTCTCGCGGCGCGGCCGGATGGCGTCAACCGCCGCGACCGCCTAGTGCACCGTGGTCCCGAGAAAAGCCGGCCCAGCGGGCGGGGTTTCAAAGAGGGAGAGCTTTCTGATTGGGTATGACGTAATTGGGGCGGAGAGAGAACGCGAGCGAGCACCAAAGCCGTCCGTGGTAAGGGCGGGGCCTAATAGCGGTCCCCCGGGAATTTCTAAAGAGCTTGTCTTCTGATAKGGCAGGGTTTTGGAAAAACGGAGCATATGACTGGATGTGGGTGGCCTCAAAGGAGGCCCAGGGGGCGGGCACTCCTGTGAAGTTCAGACCTGTGATTGGGCGAGATCGAGAAGGGGCGGAGCCTGAGGGCGAGGATTGAGTCCGTTCGGTGATTCCACTACAGTCGGTTCAGGGATCTGTCAATGTTTGATTGACAGGGACTGACAGACCGGCAAACTATTTGCTCCAAGAACGAGAGCGAAGGAGCTCGCTCTTATACAGCACTTTGAGAAGACACCTATTGGTTCCGACCCAGAACAGGAGGGCGAAGCGATACCAGGCTGGGTGTGGACTAGTCTTGCCCTGAAGTTTGTTTTTCATTTGGAGAATGCCGCCATCAAGTGGTGGCACATTGACATGGTTATTCTGGGGAGGAGGAGGGATGATACCTTGGGGGAGAGAATGTATGTTGCCTGGTTGTCCTCTTGAAGCTTTTTGCATTGTTAACCCCTGATGTGGACTTGTGGAGCTCAGTTCCTTGAAAAAGATGCCACTTGTGCTGTAGAATATTGAGGCAGCATCCTACCATGAGGTTCTATTCTCAAATTCATCACTCCGTGGTTATTTTACTACATGCTATTATTATCTGCTCTCGAGGTTATTTACATGTAGTCACATGCCACATTATGCCGCCTCGATTATGGACAGACCACAAATATGACAAACCATGGCCCCAGAAAATTATGACATTGTAATTGTATCACCTAATGACATTGTAACTATCCTAACAGCCCAATACATTACTCATCCCACTGTGCTGCCAGTTGTTTAAAAATATAGCACATACATTTGTGTACAGTACATAATACTTGATGATAATAAATGACTATATTATTGGMTTATTATTATTGAAGTGTACTCCTACTTATTGAATGTTTATTGTAATCCCAGTTCATTGGGAGGTTGAGGCAGAAAGATCACAAATTGGAGGCCAATCTCAGCAACTTAGCAAGTTCAAAATAAAATAAAAAGAGCTAGGGATGTAGCTCAGTGGTAGAGTACTTGCCAAGCATAGTGGGAGGCACTGGCTTCAATCCCCAGCATGATAAAAAATAAATAAATAAAACAGTTCACTGTAGAACAGTTAGCCATGTCACACCAGCAGCAGGTTCACACATCTCATGTTCACCGAGTGCTTGATCACATCAAGAGGCCAAGTTGAGTGATTGGCCTAACCATGTGGGTTTGTGTAAATGCACTCTGTCATTCACTACAATGAGATCGCCTAATGTGTCTCCCTCATTAAGCAAGGCATGGTCACATGTTGTATCTGCATGCTGGAAACATGATGTATGCAGCTACATCTCTTAACAGTTCTAGGATGGTGCCCTATTATTTGTGGAATCAGTCACAGTGGGAGTATTTACACCACAGGAATTGGCAAATATTACAAATCAAAAATTTTTGGTTTGTTTATTAGGAGAGCCAGTTACTAAACACAGCAGAGGATGAGAACATGAAGGACAGTGAACATAGACTCTTCCCAAAAATCTGCTGTGCATAGAAAGTGAAAGGATGACAGCTGGAGGAACATATGGAGAGGAGCAAGAGTGCCTTGTTTGTTTTCCCCAACTTCTTATTTTGCAGAATTTCAAAGCTGCAAAACTTGAAAGGATGGTATGATGAAAACTCACAGGCCCTTCACCTAGATTCACTTATTCGTGTTTGCTATAGCATCCTCTCCCCACTCCCTGTGTTTGTTTGGTTTGTTTTGTTAACTTTTTAACAAATTTTTGCAGTGCTGGGGATGGAGCCCAGGGCTTCACTGCATGCTAGGCACGTGACTACCACAGAACCACACCCTCAGACCTGATTTTGTGTGTTTCTTTTGCTAACCCATTTGAAGGAGAGTTACAGACATCCAGAGGTCTCGTCATTCAATACTTAATCATGAATCTCTTCTGGACACTTTTTACAAGATGACAGCATCATTAACCCCCAAAATATTCATTAACATTGAATAACTAAAAGTAATTAAATAGCTCAATATGGTGGTGATTTCCAATAATCCCAGCTATTCAGTAAACTGAGGCAAGAGGATGGCAAATTTGAGGTAAGCCTCAGCAACTTAGGGAGGCCCTATCTCAAAAATTAAAAGGGCTGAGGGGTGTGGCTGTGTGGTAGAGAACCCCTTAATTCAACTCCCAGAATCCAATCCAGTTTCTCTTATTGCATTTGGTTTTCCTATCTCTTGCGGTTTCTTTTCACCTAGAAGTTCCCGTTATTTTTTCTTTCATGATTCTGGCAACTTGGAAGCCCTGTTGTGTAAAATGCTCCACATTCTAAATTTAACTGACTTATTAAAAATGATTGGTTTCCAGTTTGTCTAGAAGGTGGGAATGGCTCTTTCCTGATGCACCCTAACAGGAGGTCCATCAAGTAAATGTGTTCCACTTTGAAGGATGCTAAATTCTGTGATTTGGTTAGGGTTTGTTTTTACCTTCACCTTTATTTTAATGTTCTTTCTAGTGCTGGGGTTGTTTTTATTTGTTTGTTGGGATGCTGGGGATAAAACTCAGGGTCATACACAAGCTCATCCAGCTCTCTACCACTGTGCTAYACCCCAGGTCTCGAGCAACATAGTTCCTTGTGGTTGTTGGACTGACAACCAGTTTTCTTGCTGCTTCTCAGCGGGCCACTCCCACCTCCTAGAGGTGGCCTGAACTCCTTCTTATGTAGCCATCAGAGTCCCTTTCCAACTTTCCCAAGCTTGAAATCTGATGTCCTCTTTTGCCAGAGAAATAGTCTTTGCTTTTAAAAAAGGCTCTTGTGATCAGATTGGGCCCGCCCAGAAAATCTTCCTTTTACCATAAAACATTGCCTCTGGAGTCTCTTCAGGGCTGCTCTGCTTCATAGATGATGACTTGTAAAGGTGCCCTCACCGGTGGAGGGAGTAAACTACCTCTCTTGGCCCTGACATCATTCAGGAAGATGGAGCCTCACTTCTAATCACYACAGCATTGAGCATCAGCTTTCAACATATGAATTTTAATGGACACAACTTCAGACCAGAGTGGTTTGGCAGCCCAGGCTGACTGAGACATCAGTCAACCAACCATGCACCCCAGACTGCCTGGTGCTGTGGCTGGGGACAAGGGACTTTCCCCCAGGTATATGGTGAATGTGTGGTAGAATGGGACAAGGATGGTCAATGGCAAGGTCAGAAGTGGCTGAGGAAAAGAGGCAGTGAGGGAACCATCTTTTGAAGAAATGTCTGGAAGGTCTATTCTTGGAATTATTTCCAAATTTGAGCAATATTTTTTTTTTGGCATTATTTACCTGCTAGTAGGTGACAAGTCACTCCAAAGCTTAGCAGAGAGTAGGAAGTGGTGGCCAGGGCTGGGGGAGAAATGGAGAGTTGCTGTTTAACATGTATAAAATTTTAGACGTGTAGACTAAAGCTCTGATTTGGATATGACTTGAGTCTGTCCCCCAAAGGTTCACGTGTGGGAGGCCTGGTCCTCAATGTGGCAATGAGAGAGGTGGTGGCACCTTTAAGAGGTGAAGTTCAGCAGGGCATACGGCTGCATGCCTGTAATCCTGAGGATGGGGGTGGGGACTGAGGCAAGAGGATCACAAGTTTGGGACCAGCATCAGTAACTTAAGTGAGACTCTATTTCAAAAAAAAAATAAAAAATAAATAAAATAAATAAAAATAAAAAAGGACTTGGAATATAGCTCAGTGTTTTTGTAAAAGCACCCAGGGTTCAATTCCCAGTACCAAAATCAAAAAAGAGTTGGAGCCTGGTGGGAGATCCCTGGGGGTACTGCCCTCAGAGGGGATTGTTCTAGTCAGCCTCTGCTACTGTAACAAATACCCGACAATCAACTTATAAAGAGAATAGGGTTAGTCAGGTGCAGTAGTGCATACCTGTGATCCCAGCTACCTGGGAGGCTAAGGCAAGAGTATAGAAAGTTTGAGTCCAGTCTAATGAATTTAGCAACTAAAATAAAAAGAAAATGGAGTTGGGAATATACTCAATAAGAGGCCCTGGGTTAAAAAAAAAAAAAAACATGCTGGGGATATAGCTCAGTTGGTAGAGTGTTTACCTTGCATGCACAAGGCTCTGGGTTCAATCCCCAGCACCACAAAAAAAAAAAAAAAAAAAAGGTTAATTTTGACTCATGATTTTGAGCAGCTCAGTCCATGAATAGGCAGATCCATTGCTTTTAGGATTCTGGGGGTGTCAGATGGCAAGGAACAAAGCAAATTGCTCACCTAGGGCCAGGGAGCAAAATAGAGTGAGGATTGGGGTCCCACAATCCCTTCAAGGGCACACCCCCAGTTAARGACCTCCCACTATGCCCCACCTCCAGGAGGCTCTGCCACCTCTGCAGCACCACTTCAGGGACTGAGCTTTCAGTGCATGGGCCTTTAGGGGAGACTGAAGATCCAAACTGCAGCAAGAACCATGGGAGTCTCACGGGACCCCAAGTTAGCTCTCAAAAGGGTCATCATGAAAAGAGCAAACGGTGCACACCTGGGATCCCTGCTGCACACCTGGGATCCCTGCTACTCAGGAGACCGAGGCAGGAGGATTACAAGTCCGAGGCCAGGCTGGGCAACTCAACAAGAGCCTCTCTCAAAAGGAAAAAATAAAAAGGGCTGGAGATGTGGCTCAGTGGGAGAGCACCCCTGGGTTCAATCCCTAGTCTCAATAAACACAGACATAAATAAATAAGGCATTAGAGCATCTCTAATCCAATACGGCTGGTGTCCTCCCAAAAAGAGAGTAGGACACATACCGAAGGATGAAGAACTGGAAGACACCATCTGTAAGCCAAGGAGAGAGAGAGAGAGAGAGAGAGAGGCCTCAGTGGGAATCAAGCCTGCCCACACGGTGATCT